ATGTTGAGATGAACATGCTTATTATAATTTTTTTAGAAAAAGACACAGAGCTACTTTTATATGAACTTAGGTCCAACAAATAAGCACTCTTCATTTTTCTCCATCTGTCTAAAAAAAATTTTACATTTGAATTTTCTCAATCAAATTTTACATTTGACTTTTGTCAATCAAATTTTATATTGTTTTGATCACGTTTGAGAAAAATATATATATTCAGTTATAACTTAAATTTATCTTAGTTGGGTTTTTTGAAAAAAATATATTTTATACATCAAATTTTTAAAGTTGAAATATTTATGGCCAAAGTATAGGGAGTTGATATATGTATATGTATGTATGTGTATATATATATATATATATATATATATATATATATATATATATATATATATATATATATATATATATATATATATATATATAGAATTCTGTAATATCACCTCTGGTTTCGTAGAACATTTGATACATTTTTTAAAATGTACTAATTTTTTATTCCATGCCAATTTTCAAAAGTGTGGAAGAAAAATAGGATAATAACTCTTTGATAGAATTACGTATTTTTGTTTGGAAAATTTTCAATTAATTATAATATATTTTATTTTATTTTAAGACTTTATGATACGGTGCACTAATTAAAATAAATATTTGGTGTGTTTCTAAATACAAAAACAAAAATTATAACAATATTATAAAATTTGTTAAATAAGTATTTCCCTAAAAAATAAGTATTAATTAGTATAATATAATTTAATCCTCAATATTATAAATCTTGTTAAATAGTTAATGTAAAGGGATGATGAAAATGAGGTATTTGTAATTGAAAGGGCAAAATTGTCAATCTTTCAAAAAATAAAAAAAGTGGAGTGCAACTAGTAAAATGTGGAGTGTAGATATCAATTCCCTTTTTTTTACCACCCTACTTGAAAAGCTATATTTGAAGGAGTAATCAAAATAAAATCTGACGAGAACCCCTCACAAACAAACAAACAAACTGTAAAAGCCCAAACGCAAAACTTCAACAAATTGTTGAACATTCCAATCTGGCCTTCAAACTCAAAAAGGAAGCTTCTTCTATATATGGATCAGGTGAATCCATATCCTCTTGATCCCTTTTTCCCCACCTTTTTGTTCTATTTACGCAATATCATATTTTTCTATTTTTCATCTTTTTAAATTTTATTTATTTATTTTTCTGAGAGTGAGTGAACCTAGGAAGTACTACACATCAGGTGTATATATTTTGTTTTAGGATTGGATCTCAAATAAACATAAACTGAATTTGGTATGAAACTTTCTGTAATCTTTGTGGTGTCTGTTTCCAGGAGGAGGAAATCAAGTGTATTTTGTCATGGACCAATTTATTAAGACTTGGGTTGACAAATTATTACTCCATATGAACTTGGGTTGCTTTGCAACTTATATGCTTAACATCATCACATGACCAATCTTCTTGAAAGTTACTCCCCAGTTTTTAATTGCTCAATTTTCGTATTCAATAAAGAAATCATGATGTGGTACGAGTAAATGTTGACATGAATGAGTGGCAAATTCAATTTGAAGAGCTTACTTTACATTTACACTCATTTCGTAAATACGAGATTCTTAAGAAAGTGGACAACAAAACTTGGACGAATGGAGTTGTAAACTAAGCTTAATGGCCTCCCGTGCTATACGAAGATTACATTCTCAAATGTCGACCTGATGTGGGACGGTTCATATGAGACTCGTTTTGTGGGACTTATTGTTTTGGAGTCCGGAATTTGGTGTCTTGAGTCTCAGGTGTGGAAGGATTACGTCGTGGAGAACGAGTCCATAATAAGGGCAAGAAATTAAATTCATTTGATAAAACCCTCCCTAGACACTAGTTAGTTCAGAAGTTCTTGATTGTTTTTTCTATCAAGTAAAAGGTAAATCTTTTTTCGCAGTTTCTGAGATTTTGGCCTCTATTTTCTTGTCCGGGGCAACAAATGTAGTTGGAAAGTTATTAGTAGCGTTGATGAGCTGCTAGGAGAAATGGCGATGGCTCCAACTGTCAAAGTGGTTCTTGGCTCAATCGCGTTTGCCCTCTTTTGGGTGTTAGCGGTTTTCCCCGCGGTCCCATTTTTGCCCATCGGAAGGACCGCTGGGTCTCTACTTGGGGCTATGCTTATGGTTCTTTTTCAAGTCTTGACTCCGAATCAAGCATACGCTGCCATTGATCTTCCCATTTTGGGTCTTCTCTTTGGGACAATGGTTGTCAGTGTGTATCTTGAAAAGGCAGATATGTTTAAGTATCTTGGGAAACTATTGGCATGGAAAAGCAGAGGACCCAAGGATTTGCTCTGCAGAATCTGCTTCATATCTGCCCTTTCCAGTGCTCTATTTACCAACGACACGGCTTGTGTCGTTTTGACAGAGTTTGTGCTGAAAATCGCTAGGCAACAAAACCTCCCGCCCCGCCCCTTCCTACTAGCTCTTGTTTCAAGTGCAAACATTGGGTCTTCCGCGACTCCGATTGGGAATCCCCAGAATTTGGTCATAGCGATGAAGAGCAATATACCCTTTGGCAAGTTTTTCCTTGGGATCTTCCCCGCAATGCTTGTGGGCATTTTGGTCAATGCCTTTCTACTTTTGTGCATGTATTGGAAGCTATTGTCGTCGGTTCAGAAAGACAAAGACGAAGAAGAAGACAACTCTAGAAGTGAAGTTGTGACAGAAGAAGAAGTGGTCTCTCACCATTTCTCCCCCGCGACTATGTCACATCCAAATCTCAACGACCACACGAACCGTTCCGAGACTCTTAGGAACCGGTGCAGTGTGAGTGAGGGTGAGATTGAGGGGATTGCTTCTCCCCGAAGCTCGAATGCTTCGCGGGAAGCAACAAAAGTGCCCTCCTCTTCCATTGATGCAAACGAAGAGAAAGTAGAAAACTCGATGAAAGTAAGGAGAAGGATGATGTGGAAAGTGTGTGTCTATCTTGTTACCATTGGAATGCTAATCTCTCTGCTAATCGGTTTGAACATGTCGTGGTCCGCAATTACAGCAGCACTTGTTCTAATGGTTCTTGACTTCAAGGATGCTCGACCGTGCTTGGAAAAGGTTTATATATACCCGCCTGTTTTCTCATCAATCTTTTGTTTCCGCAATCAATTTAGCCATTTATAATGTTTTTTTCGTTTCGTTTGACAGATATCATATTCGCTTTTGGTATTCTTTTGTGGGATGTTCATCACAATCGACGGCTTCAACAAGACGGGGCTTCCAAGTGTGGTGTGGGATTTCATGGAGCCATATGCCAAAATAGACCACATTAGTGGAATAGCCCTTCTCAGCATTGTCATACTCACTCTCTCCAATTTGGCTTCAAATGTACCCACAGGTATGTGTGTCATGCTCACTTCCATAGAATATCTACTTGTGTAAATTACTTCAAATTAGTTTTCAACTTTCTTAAAAATGCTTGTACTGTATCATTTTTAAGAAATGTGTAAAAAAATGTCATATTACTTGTGCTTCAAATACGTTTGTCATTCATGCATGCCAATAATGCACATACCCTATCTCTAAAATAGTTTAGACACTTCATTCACGGGCCAGTTCCGTCGACATTGGGCTCTGGATGACATTGGTCCATTTGAGGGTCTTACAGTGCTCGGTTGGAGCCCTAAAACAGTTCCTACCCCCTATAAACCCCTACCCCAGCTATCCCAGACGTAACTCCCAAATTTGGTTGACCTTTTGGTCAAAATTTTGAATGTGAACCAAAACTGGGGATGCAATTGGGGGCTAGAGAGCGGGTAGTGGCCGGGATGGGGGTGGGATCATCAGAAAATTTATGTTGCTTATGGGTTGTGTGACAGTTTTGCTGTTGGGAGGGAGGGTGGCGGCTTCGGCTGCTGAAATATCTCCGGCTAGTGAGAAGAAAGCGTGGCTAATCTTGGCTTGGGTGAGCACGGTAGCCGGGAACTTGTCACTCTTGGGGTCCGCGGCAAACTTGATCGTGTGCGAGCAGGCTCGTAGGGCCCAATATTTAGGGTACAATTTGTCATTCTGGAGCCATCTCCAATTTGGCCTTCCCTCTACTCTAATTGTCACAGCTATTGGCTTGGCTCTTATCAGAGGGTGACTCCCCCTTCTCCACAATCTTGTTGTAAGATATGAAAATAAGTGTTGTAAATGCTCTTATAGGTAAATTGCTCACTTTGATATTTCAGAACCTCATGTTTGCAAGTCCAAATGTTTCACAAAAGGGCAATGCCCCTAACCCTTTTTTTCCCTTCCCATATATACCCAAAGACATGGGTGTGAGGAGGAAAAAGAATATGTGGGGCAGAGTAGAATTGTTCATATTATAGTGTTATTAACTCATTAGAGTGGGCTTTGAGAAGTGATTTAATTTAGAACTTGTTCTATTCATTTGGTTCTTAAGGAGTATTATTTATTCTTGGGATCAAATTAGATAAAAAAAGATTTAGATAAAAAGTAATTTTAATTTTGAGGCTCTGTTTGGTTCACGAAATTCAAATTATAAAATGAGAATTTAGGTCAACAATTCTAATTCAGCTGTTTGGAAGCACAAAAAAATTTGTAGATTTGGAATTGATAGTACCAAAAATGAATTGGAGTTGAAAATTTCAATTTCATCCAAATCAATTATATAGAATTTCAATTCTCAATTTTGTTAATTTCATGTACCAAAAGAATCTAATTGAAATCAAATAGAAAAAATTCAAATTCAAATCAGAACAAGTGAGAAACAATTTTAACATTAATAGGAATCAGGATCAGACTAGAAAGATTCAAATCAGATCACACTTTGATAAATTCATATCAGGTTAGATCTTAGAAAAAACTCTTTAATTAACTAAAAAAACTCAACTCCATGTGCATTTCAGAACCGGTACCGAACCAACCAAAGGCCAAGCAAAATCAGGTCGAACCCGTGGGTTCTTTAAGAAATCGTCGGTTTATCAACAAAAAGCCAAAGAACAAAATCAAAGAAACAATGGGTAACATTTTTAACCAAAAACAAAAATTTATTAAAAGGAAAATTGCAAAAGGAAAAGCAGAACTACAAAGCTATTCCTCTTTAAAATAGGCTATTGCAACAAAGAACACGTAATATTGCCAGTTCCTATCAGAAGACCACTATTTAAAAAAAAAGAGGGACTTGTAACTTGACTTCAAAGCAACTATAGCTAACAAAACAAAAATTCTTTGCTGCTGTCTAAATATCAGTTTTTTTGTTTCAGAACGTACTTCATTTGAATGCCCTTTTCCGATTTCGTTGCAGACTTCCCATTAAGACCTACGGCTCCATTTTTCGGACTGTTAAATTGAGCATTGGGGGGCTCTGGGGTGAGTTCAGGGGCATGGGAGAGGACTAATGTCACATGATCTGCTGCAATGGCTTCCTTCCATCCTGCATTAGTTTTAAATAATCAGCAAATAAAACACGCCATTAACAAAAACACATCAGGAGTCTGTTTTGGTAGGACAAAAGATGAAGGAGGTGTTTGTTTTTCTGCCAGAAGACCTTCTGGCGTCTTTTGTCTGCGCCGCGCAGACGCGCGCAGATGATGGGCTCTGCAGATTGTTTGTTTTTTGGAAGACATTTCACTCAAAAAGGTCTTCCTGACATCTTCTTGGAGAAGACATTAACCAATGTCTTCTAACATCTTCTCCTTTTTTTCTACTTCTCTTCACCACCACAACCGTTCACCGCCACCGTCCACCACTACCACCGTCCACCATCACCGTCACCGTCCATCACCATCGTCGTCCACCACCACCGCCACCATCCACCGCCACCGCCGTCCACCACCACCGCCGTCAACGTCCACCACCACCACTTAGCAGGTATGTGGTGGTGGCATGTGATGGTGGTAATTAAATATATCGTCAGATGTCTGTAATTTTTTTGTTTGTCAGAAGAAGAACGTGTGGCGTCTGGAAGCCAGGTGGTGAAGAGGACGTCTACAGATGTCATCACCACCGCAGACCGCAGACCTTTTCCTGCAGAAAAAACAAACACCGCCGAAGTGACTAGTGAATGTCACAACACGGAGGGCAAAAAACATTGCCCTCTTTTTTTTGGGCATGGATTTAGTGTGTATTAATATTATACAATTGATTGGCATAATACACTTAATGCCACTGACTCCAACTAGTTGAGATCAAGGTGTTGATCTTAATTTAGTCACCACAGTGAAATCAGTTGGTGTTTGGTTAAAAATATGGTTGATAAGCAGAAATTTTTACCAGAAGCCCAACACGCCCCAAAGACAGATAAGATCAAGTAATGGGACAAAACAACTTGATAATCACGAGAAAATCAGAACGTACTTTGTGCAAGGAATGCTTTCACGGCGCTACTGGAGAACTGCTGACCTTCTGCGTGTGTATTATCGTCCAAAACCTTACCAGAACTTTTTTTGCAGAAATTGCCAGTGCCAAAGGATTGCACACAGTTTCTACTGGGCATAGTAGTTTCGTCATCAACTTTGGCTGGAATCTCATCTTCTTCTTTATCTTGTCTGCCTTTTCCTCCATGCCTGCTCACAGGCCTCCAATGTTTCTTTGACACTATGTTATTCTCCAGGTGACTTGTGATGCCCTTTTTCACAGGAACTGAAATGGACCCAATTATCACTTCACACTCACCTCCTTCACTTGTGTTTATATCATTTTCCACTCTGACTTTCTTGGTCCATATCTTACCGTTATGTACGGTGGCCCCCCAATCTTTTGGGGTTCCGTATTTACTATGTACAGATTCAAGCTTCAAAGTTTGATGATTATCCCGATTGCTAAAGAATCCATTCCGTCCAACCCTCTGAGATTTCTGTACCTGCCACCAATGGCTGTGGGAAAATTGCTTTCGAGTGTTCGCCGGAAAGGGAAGGGGTTCAACACACTGTACTGTATCTACACTACAATCAAAATGTTCGTTATAGAAATCTTGTGCTTCAATGTCTGTATCTACATTTGAGAAGTGAATCATTTCTATAGTGGATGATTCGTCGGCTGATGTATCAACGGTGTTACTCAAATTGGAAGGGGATGGTGCCGAAGGATTTGAAGTTTCTTCTAGCTCCAGTGAATAGTTGTCTAAAGAATCAGCAGTAGTCACACTAACTTCCACTTTTTCCTCATATTTCTGCTGCTCCTTTGCTTTTTGTCCTTTCTGTCTCAGTTTTTTCTGCCTTTTCTTTTCCAACATCTCAGCTTGCCTAAAATTACATTTTCAAAGGATAAATTCATGATAAATAAATGCTCAAAAGATTTCTACTCAAAATGTCCAAGAAATTTATGTTCCTACATGAACAAAAAAAACATACTCCCTCTGTCCCAAAAAAAGAGGAAATGATATTTGCACTCCATTTTTTGCTATTGGAGTTCCGAAACACACTACTCACCTCTCACATTAATAGTGCATTTTGGAGTGTCAACAGCAAAAAGTGGAGTGCAAATATCATTTCCCCACAAAAACTCCTCATTTCCTTTTTGGGACGTCCCAAAAAATTACTTTTCCTATTAATGGGAAAATTTTGTCTCGCCATCCTTCTCTTCTACATCACTTTTAACAATGCAATTTTACTTAAACTCTGTGCCAAATTGAATTAGGAGGCTTTTTTGGGACGAAGGGAGTATGTACTAAGGGTACATTTCAGACCACAGAGATACAAGGGTTAGAACATAGATACTACTCTGCAATAAAATTGGAAGAAAAACTTGGGCGAGAATAAGATAAGTTCAAATTCAATAAATTAATTTGGATACTTTTTAAACTTATTTATTTATTTATTTCTATTATATAAAGACTAAGAAATTTAAACAAAGTTTAAAAAAACTATAACATTACTCATATTTCATTTTTCTTTATATTTTACATGATAAAAACCAAATATGGAAATAGCTTTCCTTAGAATTTATTTTCAATTTTCTGCGTTATCTGGAATCTAGAAACCTTAAGACAAGCAGTCCTAAAATATAAACTTGCAAACACAAAGCACACCTTCTCTGAGCAGCATCCTCTTCCTCCACCAGCAGCTTTTGGCATCTAAGTGCCTCAGCTTCTTTCTCAGCAAGCCATGCTTTCACCTAATATAAAAAGGAAAGATGACAGCATAAGTGCAGGAAGAAGTGATTAATTGAGTTGTTGTGAAAATGGCAACAAAAGGGTATGTAGCAATGTAGAACATACCAGCTTCTGCTCGAATAGAAAGCAAGTGCATGCAATTAAAGTCTTCAATTCTTTGGAGCCTTTTACAGTCTCCGCATCAAAGATGTACTTTTGCATTGATTCAGCTGTGCCAGCACATAGAAACGTTCTCTCACTAGCCTCATCAAGAATGCTAAATAGATCTTGAGATGAGATCGGAAGACTGGAAGGTTTTGCTTGGACTATTTCCTGGAAAAAAATGCCAAATATAAATAGGAATGAAGAATAGTGGCAAACATGAAAGCCAGAAAGAAAAAACCATCAGGCAACAATCTTACCAATAATGTAGAACCCGCTTTTGCATAAGCTGCTGGAAGAGTCCAAATGTCTGATCTGCGGAGAGAGTTATACACTGTTGTGATAAGTGTATCAGTACCAAGAATATCCTGAGAACATGCAATGTTTTCGAGTCAATTTTCTCTTTAGATGTGTGAAAAGGAAGCACGGGGAGGAGCGATGAATAGTATATGGTCTAAGAGCATTCTCTTTACCTTTAGTGAGATATCATCCAATAATGCAACTTCTTTAACCTCATCTAATGAAAGCTGGATGAATAAAAAAATCAATAAACATTTCAAAACTATAAGGCATGCACGAAACATGCCCAATTTACAAATATAGTAAGAATTACCTTGTCCCAGTATGCTCCCAGTAAATCTCTATACCTACGAGATTCCTGGATCATATGATCATATTGTAAGATTCATATTTTTACACACATACATATTTTGGCAAGTAAAAATCAAATGCGATTTGCAACGACGTTTAAGTAGAAATGACACAGCATGTCCGTAGCTTCCCACTAGATTTGGAGTAAGATAAAAAATTGTCTTGGTAAAACAGAACGACTAACTTAATAATACTATGAGTCTATCATATACATGCTGCTCAAAACTGAAAGAGCATAGTTGAATAATATTACTGAAAGAATATAAATGAACAATACTGCAGAGGTTATACTTTTATAAATAATCGAATAAACAATAACACTACAATGAGGATGTTAATGTAAAATCCTAACTTAAAGATTAAACACTGTATAAAAGTAACAAAACATTCATTACTCCTATAAATGAATCAGAATGTACTAACATTATCATAGTAAAATAGTAAAGGACAAACAAATAAGACCTTATCAAAATTCAATGATCGCCGGTGCAAGCGCGTGTGCCTTCGATAGTTAACAGGTGAACAGAATTCCTGGGAACATTTTTCACACTTTTGCATTTGAACCTTCACCGAAGTCAGTAAAGGCCATCCTGGGATATCTGCAAGGAAGTAAGAAAACCATAGGCATCAAAGAGAACCTTTTGCCACAAGGCAAACAAGTATGCCTAGAAATGGAACTTTTTTAATTAAATAAATTAATAAGGAAATTTATGATCGTACAATGTGAAAAAAACCAGTCCACTCATTTAAGAAGCACCGAGGCAAATAGAATTAAATACTAGTATGACAAATCCTATAATAATAAGAGTTCATTGATGTTTGGATCAATGTTAACATTTTGTTTTACCGGGCTGATCTAAGGCGTGAAGCAACTGGAACCACTGTACAGGGCTATCCCCAGTTCTGGAGAATGAAAGAAGATGATCTTTTCCTGTAGATTGCCTAACGAATGTATCAACTGAACTGTTGCCTTCCTCTGATTTCATTGCATCCGGAACACTGAGAGTGCTGAGTTTTGCAACAGGCATCTATCCTCCGTTTGCAATAGCTCATAAAATGCAACTAGAACAACATCAAACAAAAGGTGATTAAAAATTTGGCAGTCATTAGACAATGATACGATGGATAATTAAGTATAATTGAGATCAAAAAATTACAACAAATGTATCATAAATTCACAAAATGGCTTTGGGGTTGGGGTATGATGATATAAAGCAAAATGGTTCTTTAAACTAACTACGCTCCTTTCAACAGTGAAGTAGTAGTTAATCAATGCAACTTTCAACGCTCATCATGAGTAATCTAAAAAAAGTCTCCCTATATTTTAAACATAGGGATTAGGTTGGTACATCCAACCCCCCCCCCCAAACCTCACAATGGGTAGGAGCCTCTTAGGCACTGGGATAATGTTGTTGTATCACAAGTTCACATAAAATGTTTTTTATTGTTCCAATATAAACATATGCCTTTACTCTTATGAACAAATACATAGAACAATGTTCACATTCCATTGAGGAGAAGATGGAGCACTGAAACAAAAGAGAGTGAAAATAAGAATGCAAACCTAACCTGTGTTGAGAAACAATAGACAAATGATACCAGTTGAACCACAGAACCAATTCAACAGGAAACATCAATGATAATGACACTCCATTAAGATTTAAAAGAAAAGAGATTGTTCATTTCAAAAATATCCATGCTCCATAGTCAATTAAGGGTGCTTTACAACAATACAAGCCGAAAGCATAGATTATAATTACAATGCGCTAGCACTAAACAGAATCATTTTGCAAAAAAAAAAAAAAACATTAAACAAATAGGCAACTGAAGCATGTCGTTTAGATGATAAAAGATCATTATCTCCATAGAATACTATAAATGAATCAATTGAGCGAAACCAGGAAACTCTCCTAGGGTTTGACACCACGTGATCCATGATCAGCAATAGCCGCACTATAAAAAGGATGAAATACAGATGCAGTTCGCATACCAGTGAAAGACGGAGATCACCGGCTGCCGGACGATTTCAAAGACGGCGAGAAAACGATTATTCGAATCTGCTCGTATGTAGAAAGGAGAGGGATAGAGAAAGCTAGTTGTGATAGTCGGCCAAATGCCCAAATCTGTAGGGAAAATGAGAGTTTGGAGTGTGAGAAGAAGATGAAAAAAGGGGTTAAAAAAAAGTAATACTCGCAATATAAATATTTTGAATGGGCCGTACGCTCACAAAATAACATACTACTCTCTTTTTTATAAAATTACTTACGGGTGACGCGAGTTTTGTTAAAATAACTCTCAGGTTCCTCTACTTTTAAAAAGACAATTGAGGTCGTTATATTTTGTTCTAATAACTAGGAGGGGACATTTCATCTAATATTTCATTCATAAGTGTAAATAAATGTATATTTTTCTTATTTTTCCATTACCGTTTTTTTTCTATTTTGCCATTACTCGGTTTTTTCTTTTTTAGAAAATATTTTATTTCATTTATTTTAATATAATACAAACAATTTTAAATTTTTATACGATTTTATAGAAGAAATTCTAAAATAACACTTTAAAACAGAGTAACAAAAAAAGAAAAACAAAGAAATAAAAAAAGGAGCGACCTAAGATTTATTACCTTAAAACATTTTTAAAAAAATATGAAAAAATACATTTATTAACGTTTATGGATGAAATATTGGGTGGAATGTCCCCTTCCAGTCATTACAACAAAATGTAAGGACCTCCGTTGTCTTCTTAAAAATAGAGTGACCTGAGAGTTATTTCAACTAAACCTGTGTCACCCGTGAGTAATTTTCTGCTAATTTTTTTGTTAAAAATAAAAAAAATATCTAGAATACTCTCAACTTCATTCAATCTTTTAAAAATAATTTCATCTTTTAGTGCAATATACAGAGTATAATTATCTCAACTTTATAGAAACGGTCTGTTTTGCGCAACACAATAAAAATTGGAATTATTTTGATGATTTTTTTAGTTTTTTTTTTTTGAAATTTTCATTTAAATTTTTAGAATCATTTTCTACTTCCATCATTTCCTTTTTAAAGATTAGTCTTGCTTCAGAGGAAATTAAAAAAAAAAGATATAAAAGCTAATAAAAATAAGAAAAAAATTTAAACAATACAAAATTAATGAAAAGAATAAGGTAATCAATAGAAATTAACCTAAAAGACCGAAACTGATAAGAATGATAGAAATTAGCCCAACAACTATGGCAACGAAGAACGAATAACAACGATAATTAATCCATCTTGATGTATTTCTATTACTTTGTGTATATTTGTGTTTTTCACTTAGTTTATAATGGAGGGTTCTCCCTCTATTTATACCTAATATTACGATTACAAACATAATGGCACTCATCATGCGCATAAAACTTGCCATTATCTCTTGCACATCGATCGTGGTGGTTCGCTATCTCAAACCCTGATCTTCCCACGACTTGGTGTTATGCAGTCTGCCTTCGTTAAACGTTTGGGCCAATCGACGGGAACTGGTCTTTTGTTTCCTGTTTACCAGTCCTTGTTCCGTACCGGCCCAAGTCACTCATGTGGACTGGTCTGGTCATTTACATATATTGGGTCCGGATATCCATCACAAGCCCCATATTTTCTTAGCGACACGTCACTAAGGAACTACAGTTGTGCCGCCCTTGGTCTGAGCGCTGGTTAGAAAACGATTGCATTTTCCACTCTCAGCTCTGTGTTGTGTCGTTTTCATTCCCGCTCCAACTCTCTACCCTTTTTAGGCGTCTGCACTATTCTGGATTCAGGGAGAAAGTTCATTATCATAACTGAAAAGAATGTAATCCTTTGTACAAGTTATCTTAATGAAATTTGTTTTCACCTGTCTTCATTCATCTTTATTTTGTATATATGTGCGCTCTATGTGAAGCGAAATGTATTTGTTTACCTTTACTCCTATTGCGCTATTGATTTCACTTCCTAAGGCTATTAGGTAAAGTATGGCATTCCCTTTACCTATATCCCCCGGGTTAAGGCATGATCTTTTCTGCTTGCTGCCTTGGAAGGTTCAGTTTATCCATCTTCTTCCTCGGCTTGAATGGTGGCTTGCTTGGCTCCGGTCCTCTACGTCTGTTTGTTGTTCCTCTCAAGGACTGGGCTGTAAAAGTACTCTAAGTCCTTATCACATTCTCTTCCTTGTTTTGACGGAGGCATAAATCTTTTCTACCTCTGGGGGCATATTATTTTCTACCTCCCCTATTTTTAGCAGGTGGCACAAACTTATCTACCTCCGTGTATTAGGGGTACCCCCCCCCCCCTTTTGTACGTAGGCTAGAACTATGAAATAACACTTGGTCTTTATTAGTCATAAAGAAAAGTAAAAAGTACATCTGGATTACAGATAAAACTTAACTAAGTGTTCTACATTTCATGTTCTATCTATCTCTTTTCCTTTAGGAGTCATTAGCTTGTAAAGTACCCGGGCGCACCGGGCGCAGGACTACTTTGATGATATATATGGACCTTCATATGACTTTGCTAACTTTTCCCCTTTTCTTGGTTGGATTTTTTCCCTCTTTCTCAGGACATAATCGCCTACCTAGAATGCTCTTCGCTTCACTTTCTTGTCAAACTAGGATTTAACTTGTCTCTTATGATTCTCCGCCCGAATCCGGGCTTCCTCCCTCCTTTCCTCCAGGATTTTCAATTCTATTGCTTGGTTCTTCGATCGACCATAATCTCAACTCACAATCTCTCCATCTTAATCTCTCAATGAAAGCACCAATGATGGGAATAAGCCCAACAACTATGGCGACGGAGAACGAATAATAACGATAATTAATCAATCTTGATGTATTTCTATTACTTTGTGTATATCAGTGTTTTTCGCTTGGTTTACAATGGAGGGTCTCCTTCTATTTTTACTATATTATGATTACAAACATAATGGGCACTCATCGTGTGCATAAACCTTACCATTATCTCTTGCACGTCGATCATGGTGGTTCACCATCTCAACCCTGATCTTCCCATGACTTGGTGTTGTACAATCTGCCTTCGTTAAACGTTTGGGCCTATCGACGGGAAATGGACTTTTTGTTTCCTGTTTACCAGCCCTTGTTCCGTACCAACCTAAGTCACTCCTGAAGACTGACCATTCATTTACATCTACTCGGTCCAGATATCCATCAAAGAAATATAATAAAAGTATACGGACTGGTGGATTTTAACATTTTGTGAACTATACACAGCATTAATGTAACACTTCTTATTTTTTAGGAAATATTTTCTAAAATAATCTCAATTTTACCTTTTTCAAAAAATAATCTCAATTTTCATTTTGTTGCACAAAACATACCATTTCTTTAACCAACTGTTAGCAACTTAACGACGACCTAAAATTCACAAATTTCAAGAAAATTGGAATTATTATGCATCACAGTGAGACATGGGATTGTTTTTGAAAAACAAGTTAAGGTTGGGATTATTGTGCATAGTTTTTCTTCTAATAATGCTATTGAGCTATTTGAAAAAATTTAAAAAATATCACTTCCTTTTTTCCTTCTTACAATAATATCATTGAACTCTCTAGAATATTTAAAAATGTCACTCAAATATTTTTAATTGCACAATTTTTTTACGGTAGTATCTTTGTACTTTTTTAAATTATACATATTTTTCAAAAGATTTTATTATTATTTCTCAACAAATGTATCGTTGGACAATGTGTTATAATGAACATACACACACAGTCCTTTGCTCATTATCTTTTACATTTTGATAATGACAAAAAAGGTGACAAAAGATCAATGTCAAAAAGAACTTTGACAAAAAAGGTGACAACAGATCTTCACGGATCATTTTTAATTGTTTAATATATATTTGTATTATTATTTTTTTAAAAAAATTAAAAACTTAATTTTTAAAGGTAAGTATTATGATATTTAAGTATAATACTATAACTTTGTTATGTGTATTACTATAATATTAATTGTTATTTTAAAGAAAAGAATTTGTATGATTTAATTTGCTAGGCTCAAATCTATTTTTTCCGTCTCATCACAAGTCATTGAATTCTCGAGGCCGGCTCTAACTGGCAATAGTTGTAGTTTTTTAAATGTTAAAAAAGATAATAATAAGACTATTTTCGGATATCCAAAAATGTGATTTAGAAAGATCATTAAGATCATTTTTGGAATAATCCCACCTTTTCGTGCTCTTTCAAAAAAAATCTCACTTTTCACTGTCACCGAAAATAATCTCAACTTTCCGTATGTGTGCGAGTTTTGGGTGGTCGTTAAAAAACTAACGGTCACTTAACGGAATTTTTGAAAAATGTCTATTTTTGCACAGAAATGAAAGGTGAGATTATTTTAGGTAAATTCTTTTTTTTCGCCTTTTTAATTTCTAACTTTAAATTGAAATGTTTTTTTATTTTTTATTGGAAAAATAATACCAAATTTTAGTGTTTTTTAAAGTGAAACTAATTGTTTTTTTCAATAATCGATAATCTTGTAATAATTAAAAAAAATTATTCCACACAATAGAGCTAACTTATTTACTTTATAACTCACTACATTTTTCTGTAAGTTGCAATTATTTTTCTTGAGCGGCACTTCGAATTGTTTTTTGATGCTATATTATTACTATTTCTTAAAAAATGGCACTACAAAACTTGTGAATATTTTTCGGTAATTCTATATAAATATTTTTTGCGAAACAATATTACAATAATTATGAAAATATCACAACTTTTTTTCTGAAATGAAACTTTTATTTTTATAACTCGCTAAATTTTCTGTTGTATTGTAATTTTTTCATAAACAACACTCCGAAATATTTATTGAGATAATCTTCTATTGCCTATATTATTTTTTTCTAAAATGGAACTACCTAATTTTGATTTTTTTGATAATTCAGTACAAATTTTTCCCCAAAATAGTAATGCAAAAGTTCTGAAAATGGCACAACACTTTTTTTCTTCGAAATGGCTTTAAAAATTTTTATAACTCACTACAACTTTATTGTATTGCAATATCTTTCTTGATCGATACTCTGAATTATTTTTTATAATTGGATATTATATTTTCCCATAACAGAAAACAAAATTTGTAAATTGTTAGACAAATCTCTAACAAGAGTGTACTACTATATTTTTAAAAATATTAATCCTAAATTTAAAACTAAAAAAGTAAAAAGTAATATCCCGCCTTTCATTTATTTGCAAAAAACTTGCATTTTCTAAAAATTCCGTTAAGTGGCCGTTAGTTTTTTAACGGCAACCCAAAACTCGCAC